GCCTTGCAAGCAGGGAGTCGTGAGTTCAATCCCCGGTACCGATGAAAAGGAAAAGGACAAAAAAATAAATAAAATTGTTTCAGGCTGTGGTTCTCCTTCTGTGCTGAAGACCACTAGCACTAATTCCTCATTCATCCGTGTATTCCGATATCTTTATTCCCTGCCCATTGACCTTCCTAGCTTCTAGTGACCTCTACTCTTGCTGTCCTGAAGTAACTTGTTTTAGCTTTCATGAATAAGTGAGACTTTATAATATTTGTCCACTGTGCCAAACTTACTTCACCTGACATAGAGTCCTCTGTCTGGTTCTATCCATGTCCCACAAATACAGAATTCCACCCTTTTCATGAATGCACACTGCTCCATTTTGTGCATAGCCCACTACTTAATCTATGCACCCGCTGATGGGCATCGCAGCTGTCTCACTGTCCAGGCCCTTGTGGGCAGGGCTGAAGTAAACATGGATGCAGGGATCCCTCCAATGTAATGATTTTTTTCCTTTGGAGATAGACTGTGGAGAGAGTGCTGGACCCCACAGGAATCCTACTCCCCCCCTGCTTCCCCTCCCACTGACGGTGCAGGTGAGTTCTCCCCTCCTCACATCCTACGGAGCCCCTGTTGCTTCTGCCTTTTTGATGAGCAGCTGAAGGCCAGGAGCCCAAGTTGTGGTTGGGACTTGCACTCTGGTGGTGATCGGTGGTGCTGATCATGGATGGCTCTGAGGACCTGCTGGCCCCTGGTGTCTTCCTCTGAGAAATGTCTGTTCAGGTCCTCACCTGGTCAAGAGAATATGGTTTCCAGTACCCACACCCAGGTCCAGAGTGTCCAGGCCCCTTCACATCCAAGGCACCTGGCAATGTGGCTGGGCCGGGTGCTCTGTCTGCCCTGCCTATGGGGGGTCCTGCCTGCCCATGGCTGCTCATCCCATGGGGTCACTCTGGGATTGGAGGCTAGCATCCCTGGGGCCCATCCAGGCCCTGCCCAGGAGCCCAGCCCGTCCTTTCCTTCCCAGAGGCCAAACTTGCGTCACGAACACAGCAGATCTGAACTTGCCACATAGCAGAGTTTCACCCTTGCTGACCCTGCCACCCCAGCCCTGCCAGGGGCTGCAAAGCAGGGACTGCCCTGCCTGACCCCCGAGGCTGGGCCACTGCTCCTCAGAGAGGTGTCCTCACACATGGAGGTAGCACCAGACTCACTTATATTCCTGGGGACCTTTGGACCTCTCCTGTGTGTCATCCCCAGGCCCTGGCGTCCATTCAGCAGCACACGTACCACCCACCTGCCCACTTCTTCCATTGCGAATCCAGCACTTTCCAGAGACCAAACCCAGGACGGAGATTGCCGTTCCTTTTAGCCTTCTGCACTGTACACTACAATGTGTTTTTAAAAACATGTTCCTGGTTTGAACCACTGGGGGTACACACACGACTGACTGTCTCATCAAGCAGCTGTATCTCCCAAGGGGACCGTCCCATGCCGTCCGATGGGACAGTCACGCATGGCATGTGCCATTGGTGATTCAGAGCTACCTAGCTGTGGGACAAACAAATGACAGCCCCATTGAGAATGCATTTGTCTGGGGAAGCGAAGTCTCTTGGTGGATGGTTTCTCTATGGATTTGCTTTCGTGAGCCAGTAGCCACCTCTTCCTCAGGGTTCTGCTTGGTGTCTAAGGCAGCAAGTCTCCCTGGCAGGTCCCCTGAGTGGTGCACAGGGAGAGCACAGAGGTTCCCACACAGCCAGCCTTCCGGTCCAGGTTTGTGGGTCTGAAGTGACATGTTCACTGGTACCAGGGGCTACTGAATGTGTGGACCCACAGTGAGTCCTCGTGGCTGTGCTGAGAGTCACCGTCAGACCAGAGCTGCCAGGTCCTCACCCTCCTCGTGCTCACACGGAGCAGGGGCGAGGCCCAGGCAGAATCCCACGCCCTTTGAAATGCTGCTTTTCCTTGTCTTCCTTTCCATGTGCACAATCAAATGCACCTCAGCAGAATGAGCATCAGAGGTGACTGCACCATGATGGCCTGTGACCAGTCCAAAGAACCAGGGCCTTGCCCCCTATCTCCCTCCTTCAGATGGCTCCAATGTGCCCTCAAACCTCCATGGCTCCCTGACCTTTTTGTGTATCCCCTGGACCCTAGAAAAACAGCCCCTTTCCCTCCCCAGGTACCCCACACACATGGCTATGTCTCACAGCTGCTCCCAGACACCTGCTCAGACTTGAAATTCCCACCTCTGAAAGATTCTTTCAGGCAAAAGGGTCAATTCCTGTAGCCAAGGTTCAAATCTAAACCACAGGCTGCTCACTTTTTCAGAGAGCCTTGTCTTTGGTTGGACAACAGTGCCCCAGAGAGCAGAACTAGCCACGTGTAGAGAGGCTTGGGCGAGACCAGGCGCCATCTGCAGACAGAGCTGACTCCAGTGTCCTTCCCCAGGCCCTGGCAACACCCCACCTGGTGCCAGGTTCCAGTCAGGGCTCCACAGAAAGCAACTAATGTCCAGACACTCCAGGGCAGCCCGTCACCCTTCACGGGGGCACTGTTCCTGTCAGCAGACTTTCCGGCTCTGAACTCGAGTCTTGCCCACAGATTTAAGAGTGAACCAGTCAAAGGGGACTCTGGACTTCTCTCCCAATTTTGGCATTATATACCTGGATAACCCTCCAGCAAGGCTTCTGGTCTCAATTTTTCTCAGTTATGAAATTAGGAGAAAAGTGAGCTACAAAATAATAGAGAGAGAGAGAGAAAGAGAGAAAGAGAAATGTTGAAATACTTACCAGTCATGTTGCTAATTTCTTCTTTTTTACCCAGCAAAGTCTATGTGCAATCCTGAGCAGGGGAAAGTGAAAATGTTTGCCTTGATCTGTGTAACCACGGTCCCTCTAGAATCTCCTGGGGCATCTGGCTCCGGGCACCAGGAAGACCACACAGCAGAGCATAAAGACACAAAAGTACAAAACAGTTACCACCTTCAAGTGTAGGGAAAAAATGGTGCAAAGGAACCAGATCGCAGGTGGAGGAGGAGCAGCTGGCAGCTGGTCTTGGTGACAAAGCTGTTCATGGAAAGCATGCTCAGCCTGGCAAGAGGTGGCTCCATCCTGTTCCCCTGGTCCCGAAGCCTCTGCACAACTGTGTCCTAACATGTGAGATGCAGTTCAGGCCAGCTCTCAGGGATCTGCTGGTGGCCTGGGCTCCCACTGGTCACTGTGTCAGCCCTAGTGTCATACCATGACATGGCTGAGGGGCGGTTGTGTTCCCAGGAAAGGATTCGCTGTCCTTGGTCTCCGTCATGCAGGGCTCTGCTTTTCCTGGAATCCAGGGGCCTTAGTCACTCGGGTGACTGAGGGTGGATGGTTGCTGAGAAGCAATACCCAATACCCCAATTTAAAGGAGTAGCATAACAGAGGGCACAGTGGAGGAAAAGCTACTCACCTCAGGGCAGCCCTGAAGCACAGAGCAGAGAAGGAGGCTGGAGAGGAGATGCACCCTTACAGGCCGCAGCCCAATGGCCCCTCTTTTGACCAGACCCCACCTCCCAACAGCAGTCAGCAATATTGTCCAGTAATTCCGTCACCTTGCAAAGCCCCACCCTGAGCACATGAGGCCTTTGGGGGGGGCATTCTCGATGTAAACTGCAATGCCAGGTGCCCACAGCTTTAGGGTAGTGGCTGGGAACTTCGGGGTGTTCGGGGTGTGAAACCCTGTAAACCTCTTATGTTAGGCTTTTAGGTCCTGACGAGGGATGAGACCATGCAAATTCAGGGCTAATCAACCCTGTTCTGCCACCTCTGAGACAAACACTGTCTAAAAGATCAACACAGCCCCAGGCAGAGCTGAGAAGCAATTTGACCCCAGACAGTAACAAAACATGCAAGCTAAGGGTCAAACTCTGTTCTGCTTTTCATTACTTACTGGGCACCTGTACATCCAAATGAGAAGGCAAGGTTCATAGCAAAAATGGCTTTCAGGTCCCTTATGTGCAAGAAGAAAACCCAAAGCATGTTTCGGATGAGTGGCAAAGCATGTTTCCCAGGAAAGGCCCGAGATTCTGCCTGGGCTCCCGAGGATGTCATGACTACATCAGTGGGGTGACAGGTCCCAAGGGAGGCTTTGAGGGCTCCCAAGGGACAATATATGAATGGGTTTTGGAAACTGCTTATGGGAGTTCTCACTCCCTTCCTTATCGGGAAACCCTGAGGCTCTAACAACCTGATGACCTTCCTCCAAGGTCACTCAGCCCTGAATGGGCTCCAGACTCCATGCCACTCTTGTTGCTGAACTTGGCATCAGCCATTTGGGCCCTGGAGTCTGACTCTGTGGGTTCCCAGCCCAGCTCCACCACCACTGGAGGTGGTGACAGGGTTTCTTTGCTGTCTCCACCTCCTCTCCGTGACCTGTGGGTGTTAAGGGCAACTGTTTCGTGCTAATAGCCCCAAAGAGCAAGGAACAGGGCTGGCTTGTACTAGTGAACAGTAACTTATTTTTATGTTTGGCTCTTTTGAAATTCTATTGCAAGACATTTCAAACATTCTAAGGAATTTAAAAATACACACCGCAGCCAGCCGGCTCTGTAGTGTGCAATCACAAACACCGCTGCAGTTGACACCCCTGGTACCCTCCCCATCAGACCCCCTCCTCCTGCCTAGGGGAGCCACGGGCCTGAGTTGGTTTTCTCATTCCCATCCTTCTCTCACCCGCTTCCTCCAGCTAGAAATCTCTCAACAGTAACAGTAAACTGGAAGCACCTTGAAGCCTGACTGCCTGGCACCTCGCTCAGTAAAGGACTGTGAGGGAGTAGCTAGTGTGGCACAGGGTCCTGATGGGTGGTCACACCTGTCACCTCTGGGTCTGAATCTTTGTCTCTTTATGCTGGGAAGGGGCGCTTATCTCCAGGTAGCCCAGTAGGTCCCGAGAGCAGGCCTCCGAAGGCCAGGCCTGGCTTTGGTAGGAGCAGCAGCCTTAGCCACCCTCTCCTGACGATGCCGCCTCTCCCCCTCCAGGCAGAGATGAGGCTGCAGGACCAACAGCTGGCCAGGCAGCTCATGCGCCTGTGTGGGGACATCAACAAACTGAAGATCGAGCAGACCTGCCACCTGCACAGGCGGATGCTGAACGACGCCACCTATGAGCTGGAGGAGCGGGACGAGCTATCCGACCTCTTCTGCGACTTGCCCCTGGCCTCTGCCTTCAGCCTCTCCACGCCACTCAAGCTCATTGGAGTCACCAAGATGAACATCAACTCCCGGAGATTCTCCCTCTGCTGAGGGGCCTGAGGGGTGGGCCCAGAGCTGAGGGCGTTACTTCCTGGCAGCTAAAGTGGGGTGCCCAGACCTGGTGGGAGGTGTCTGCTGGGGTCCCACCTGGGGGTCCCAGTGTCTCCACAACCCGGGGTCCTGTTCCGTTCACAGAGTCTGCACAAGCAGGGTGCGCACTGGGTTCCCACCTCCTCCCTCCCTCAGCAGCCCACATTCCTGTGTCTAGAGTCATTGGTGCTGTGAACTGGGGTCCTCCACAGGGCTCCCAGAACTTTGTTCTCACGAGAGGCTCCCCAGGGGTGTAAGAAATGAGAGAAGACCAGTATACTAATCCTGTGCTGTTGCCACCCAACTCCTGGCTCTAAGGAGGTGACCCAGTGACCTTGATAGGAACCCACTAGGATCCCCAAAAAGTAGCAGAGTGGCTCCTCAGCCAGCAGCTGGCCCAGGCTCCCAGCATTCTCTCAGCTTGGCACTAAAGCATCTTGGACACTTTCCAGAGTGGCCTGGACGTGTGGTGAGCACGCACTGGCCTCACTTGGGTAGAGCAAGACCAGACACCCTGTTGACTGTCCCCCCAGCCATTCCCCTGCACTGTCACCCACATCCCCCAGGAGCGCCTGGCAGGCTGGGAACTGATTTCCATTGGCCAAATCCTCCAGGAGGGCACATCTCTGAGAGTGTCACCTATATCACCTCACTGTGTCTCACCAGAGATGCCACCCAGGGAGCTCACGAGCTACCTCTGAGACTGTCTGGCCTACAGTGTTCCTAGACTGTCACTCTGCCACCCTGTGTGGCTTACTTGTGGGTCACTGCTGGATTCTCATCTGAGCAGGCAAATGGGTGACTAGGTCAAGCAGAGTTAGATTTGGCTCTCGGATTCCTGGCGTTATCGCTGTTCGAGCTGAGCTGTTCCTACACTTACAGCACATGGTGCCTGGGGTGATCCCAAGATCAGGCATTCCCGAGGCCTTTGAGGGATCTTGTGGAGCCCTCTGACTTACAAAGGGAAGCCGGGCTGGGAGGTCCTCGTGAATGAGGCCTCCCCAGATCACACCTCACTGAGTTCGCACCCCAAAGATGGCCCTGATGCTTTGCCAAGGCCAAAGACTGCAGCCGCTCTCCTCTCCACCCGCTCAGGTGGACCCAAGGGCACATGTCTGCTCGTCACCGTCCTGCCGTCTAACCAGGCAACTGACCCCACGTACCTCACCTCTTTCCTGCAGGAGTTTCCATCCACACACACCAGGGCCCACTGAGGAGGGCCCGGCTTTGGGGGCTGTGAGTGGGAAGACACAAACAAGTGGCCCCTAACAGCCGACAGGGAACACAGTGTCTTCATGGTGGTCTCCAAGAGCCAGAAAGTTTGTGCTTGCATCCAAGAGGGTAGAATGATGTAGCCAGGATTTCCTGTCACCCCAAAACCCTGGGGACTCATCCTGACTTCCCACACTGCCGAGTCCTGCGTGGTGTCCCTTTCCTGTCACTTCTGTCCATGAGTCCAGACTGTCCTGGAGTCGTCCCCACCGCCCCGCAGAGGAATGCCGGAGCCCACCCAGATTCTGAAAAAGAGCCTGATCAGTTGGGTTTTTTTTCAGAATCAGTCATAGCCGTAGGAGAAAAGGACTGAAGGAAACTGGGTTCTTGAGTGGGGTGCAGCTGAAGAGCTTGAGGCTCAGTTAAGCCAGTTTTCCTCCTTGCTTTGTTCACCTGGAAGAATCAAGCCCCAGAGACCCGGTTTGGGATAGGTTGGATGTCTTAGCTTTGTGTTTGTTTCATCCTGAGGATTTTATTTAAGTGGGGCGAGGGGGTCAGAGAGGTGGCTGGAAAGACAGTTTCCTGCACATGGCCCGGCGTCTGTTAGCTCCCGCCTTCCACGATGAACTGAAGCAGCTGACTGAGTCATTCAGCCCCATCTGTGAGGTCCCCACTCTGTGTGGGCAGTGCTGGCCCCGTGTCTGCAGTCAACTCAGCATGTAAATAAGGACCGTCCACAGTTTTGCCTGTCACCACCCCAAGGATGTAAGCACAGTGCTCCTGCCACAAGTGGTCTGGTCCACTGCCTTCAGGGGCTCTGTCTGTAGCAATCACAGAAACCTAGAGGGCCTGGGCGGGCTCTACCTGGCCTGGCCTCACCTCGACCAACACCTACCCTGTAGCAATACCAAGTGCTATTATGTAATCAATGAACAATTTACAACTTTATTTTTTATGATTATGTTTCTATATTGCTGTTAGATAAAGTGAAATAAAAATATTTCAAAAGAAGATCTCCATATGAAGAAGAACTTTACTTCCTTTTAGCTTGATTCTGATACAGTACTGGAAGGATGGATGGATGAATGGACAGACAAGTGAGTCAATGGCTTGATGGATGATGGTTGGCGAATCAGTGGATGGATGGGTGAATGGGTGGATGGTGGATGATGGAAGGATGGACGGATGGATGGACAAGTGAATCAGTGGCTTGATGATGGATGGATGGGTGAAAGGATGGATGGATAGGTGAATGGATGGATGATGGATGGATCAATGAATGGATGAATCATTTGAGCACTCAGATAAAGCTGTGGGTGTGAAGGAAAGGCCAGCATCACTATTCTTTTCTTTATCTGCCTGCCCCTAAAGCAAGACTGCTTGGTAATTGATACTGTTGAATCCCACGGGGAGCACCAGAGAGCTCAGGGTGTGGAGTTAAGAGACACAGCCATGACTCCTGCCTTTGGCTGGAGCCAGAGTGGGAGCCAGAGCCAGGGTCGGGTCAGTCCATTCCTCTGGTAGCCTTTGCCACAGAGGCAACACAAACTATGGCTAGGAAGACTCGCGGCTTTAATACCGTCAGCCTCTTACACCTCTAAGAGAGAATGGGAGGTGAAATAGATTGCAGACAGCCAGGAGAGGCCACCATGTCAAGTTACTTTGCTACAAAAGAAGGAGAAATGTGAGTGAGCAGGGACCAAAGTCAAAAAACTTATTACAATGAAAATCGCAGTGCCAAGAACCATGGGATATGTGTTCAAGGTGAAGGGGCAGCCGGGCATGGTGGCATGTGCCTGTCATCCCAGCACTCGGGAGGCTGAGGCAGTAGGGTTGCTTCGAGCTTGAGGTCAGTCTAAAGTGAGTGAGTTCAAGGCCAACCTGAACTACAGAGTGAGACCCTGTTTCAAAAAAATGAGGACGATTGTGAGTATCTGGAGATAATCAGTGACAATGTATCTTTTGCTGTAATATATTTTTTAATTCAAATATTTATATGTTTTGATCATTCCCCATTGATCAAATGTTCACGGCACTTTCTGTCAAATAAAAACATGATGGTGTGTCCTCATTGACCTCTTCACAGGATCCGGACTGTGTGACTTCTGGCTCTTCCCCAAAGTCAAAATGACCGTGAAAGGGAAATGGTTCAAATTGATCAGGACACTGAAGCAGCCAGGGCAACCCAGCTAATAGGACCCTGATGGAAGAGGCCAGGAGCTGCTTCAGAAAGCAGCAACAGGGGGATGAGAATGTTTAAGCCAGGGGGATTTTGAGGGGGATTGATGGCAATGTATCTTTTGCATAATAAGTTTTTGTAAATTTAAATATTCACCGTATTTTTCATAACAAGAAGGCAAAGGTGCAACCAGAGATGTGTGGGCCGGAGTCATGAGCCCCAGGGAAAAGAGCAGCCCAGGGCCTTGCCCCTGTTTTTTCTGCAAAATAGGAGCACAGGTTGGAGGGGTGGAGGGTTAGGAATCAGGAAAAAAGAAGTATTTAGACGTTCCTTGACAGGTAGCAGACTTGTCTGGGGGCACTGGCTGCCCCTGGGGGTTTGCAGTCACACACAAGTGGAGCCCTTGAGCACAGCTGCCTGATGTCGTCCAGCAACCTGGCTATTTCCTCAGAGATGACCCCGCAGGCAGCAAGAGAGTGGATTTGCCAGGGAACCTCACAGAGGATGGGACCGCAGGAGCAAGGTGTCTTGTAAAGGAGCCAGCATGGTGCCGGACAGGGCAGCCAGGCTGAGCAGAGAGGGGAAAGAGGTGGGAGGTGTGGGTGGGGGGATGTCGATGTCCGCTCCCGGCCGGCAGGAAGGACACACGACAAAGTCTGGCAGTGGACAACCTTTTCTTTTATTTTTCTTCTCCGTACAGCCTGCCCTGGGATCGCTCCCAGCCGAAGCCTCCTCTGGTCCGCTCCCCGCGGCTCCTTCTGGGCTTCTACTTCCGGGCTTCTTCTTCCCTCCCAGGGGTGGCACCAGTATATATACGGATACAGTGTCCAATCATGTTAAAGTAAGCAAGGCAAGCTGATTGGCTAACATCATCAGTTGCCAGGCAGACTATATTGTTGAGCGGGTTGCTTACGCGGTAAGCAGGAAACTAACGTGCTCGATGGGAGGGGTAATCTACCTCAGGCTTTACTCTTTACTACAGGCCTCACGTCCGCCAAGTGAGGCGACCGGGCTCGGGGCTGCGGCTCCCAACAGGGGGAGGGCATATCCGGAACAGAAAGGCAGAGGGCGGCCCACGGAGAGGGGTGCAGAAGCCACTTTCAGGGGTGATGCCCTCTCCCTCCTCAGATTCCCTTTGGCTTTCAGCCTGGGGGCTGGCGATGGGGCTTTAGAGAGGCCAACAGTTAACCTGAGGCAGGCAGGTTGAGGGCTCAGCGAAGCTAACTGATGTCCTCCCAGGAAGCAGAGGTTCAGACACAGACAGACAGAGGGACGCTGTCTGTGGCCACAGGGAGAGGCCTCGGCAACCAGCCCCACCACACCCAGGACGTGTGGCTTCCAGAGGCCCAGTGACGTCCACCACTGTGGAAGCCCCCACTCTTGCAATTGCGTTGCCTCTTGCTTCTCCTCTGTGTCTCCGATCCCTGCCCTCCCACACCTGGCCATCAAACATCCATTTGGAAGCCAAGCAAGCACCTCCCCTCCCTGGTAAGCGGAGGCAGGGTGGCAGACTGCAGCCCTTCCAGGGGGAGAACCAGCAGTGTCTCCTGAGATCCACGCCATGTTGGAACTGAGGACGCTGTGAAAACAAATGACCATCCTGCCTCCCTGCTTAGCAATAGTGAACCTACTGCTACATGGCCTAGAGTCAAATATCCCACTTCCCCTATCCTCCTTCTCCTCCCTACCCCATTAGCAAATGGGAACCAGAAATCTGAGCATCTCCTGGCAGGTTGACCATAGCAAATAAGGGGCACTTCCTTCTACCATTTCTTTGAAGGCAAATATTTTTATTACTGTTTTGCTCTTTTCTAATTAATGGTACTGCTCTATCCAATATTCTGTTTTGATAAGTTCTATAATGTTCTATATTTCATCTCATTTTGATATACATGACTGAAAGAACAACTATTATAAAGATAACAAAATATACTGTGATACCTAATACTGTTATCCTGGTAACCTGTTGTGAAGTTCTGTACCAATTTCACTGTATGATCTTAGTTGGCTTTATTCTGTCTTGTTCTGTTGTATACTTTCAAAAAAAAAAAAAAAAAAAAAACATCCATTTGGAAGCACTCGGGTCACTTCTGTTCCTCCTGCCTTCGCCAAAACCAGTCGTTGGTGACTCTGACCCCCGCAGGGTCATCTTGACCCCCAGCGGAGGAGAGAAGGAACAGGCACCGAGTAAACTACCACATCATCCTTCTGGGATGTTTGCAGCCAACCCACACCCTAAGGACCAGCAGATCTGACGGCAGTGTCAGCACCTGGCAGGACACAGGAGGATGCCACTAGGTGTGAGAAGAAAAGGTGACAACTCTGGTGATATTTTTAGCTTTTTCCTTTCTGCTTTCAATATGCTTTAAGTGTACATAACTTGGTACAGGAATCCATGAAATGAAGTGTGAATCTGCAAGGGGGGGGACACAAACCTTTTCACCGATGGAGGCAAAGTCAAGCAGGGTTGAGGCCACCTTGTCTGATTCCTCCGCTGTGGCTCCAGCTGTATCTCGTGCAATGGGACAAGGCTTCTTTCCCCTGAGAAGTGGCAGGGCACACCCGATATTGGAGCAGAGGGCAGAAACTCGCACTCCTGCGTTTTGGGGACAAGCATGGCATTGCCGCCGCTCTGCCCAGAGCCCGGAGCCCTGCTCACCTCAGTGCAGTCTAGGGCACCACCCAGGGCGGCAGCTCAGGGATCACAGGTGGGAGAGAGAGTAGGAAAGTGGGAGGCGGCCGAGAAGCAGACGAGCAGCAAACAAAATCGAGAAAGTCAGGGTGGGGAAGGTTTGCTAAGACTGGGAATGAGCCCCAAATCTGAGACCAGGAAATGGCTTTGCCTTCCGCACTGCCCACACACTTAAATAATGTCCAAGCCAATTTCAAGTACAGGGGCCTGAGTGACAGCTTCTGCTCAGGCAAGCTCGTCCCTCACCGGCTCCACACTGCCCGCCCGCCCAGCTTGTCACAGAGCTGTCCCTTGAGGTTGGACTTCAGCGCATTCACCGCGGCTGCTCCTGGTCTGCGGAGCCCCGGGCGGTCACTCCGCACACAGCTCTGCAGCAGACCACAGCAGGCTCCGTAGGGACAGGAGACCCACAGGGCCGCCGCTGTCTCCTGGCCCTCTCCCCGTCCTGTGCCTCTACCCTGCCATCAGTGTCGGGAAGGAGCCCTGGAGATGTTGTCTTCAAAGTGGTCACAGGGGCCCCGGAACACAGAGCTGCTTTTGCAGCAAGAGAAGTTTCTGTGTAAGATATTTCAGCTGCAGAAGGTTTGGGGTTTCTGCATGTGGGTATCCGGTTATTCTAGTGTATTTATTGAGGGTACAACCCTGTGTCCACTTAACTGCTTTTGCATCTTTGCCAGAAATCAATGGTCTGTTATGTGGGTATCTATTTTGGGACTTTATACTGGTTCTTCGAGGGTTGGTCTATCTTGATATCAATGCCGTTTTGTCACAATTGGTGTGACTTTTGTGATAAGTCATGGGCCTGGGGAGGATTGGAGCTCTAATTTTGTTTCTTTATCAAAGTTGTTTAGACTGTTTTGAGTCTTTTCTATTTTTACAGAAATGTCAGAATCACAGTGTTAATCTATATGGAAAAGGATGCTGGCAGTTTTGTAAGGGCTTGTGTTTTCTGATCTTGATTATTTTCTTCTCTTTGTTTTTGGTTTTATTCTTTTATATTTAATTTCTCAAGGAAAGATATGAGGATAGTCCATCACTTTTTTCTTTTCTAATAAATGTACTTGGTGTTAAAAAAGAAAAAAAGGTATTTTAGCTGCTTCTATTTCTAGCAAAGCAAAAGCAAAAATTAAAAAATACCAC